CACTATTTCAGATTATTCTACGGTATAGCGGTCTAGACTTGAGTCATTCCTTCCCACAAAAGGATGGCTGGGCACAAAGTTTACTTCGAATCAGCATAAGTGCCTTAATATGTCTGGCGATGTTTCTCAAAAATGCCGGTTCTTACACTTTGGACCTTCTTACACTTGTGGAGCACACTAAGGTCAGTCAGCCAATGTTGTTTTGCCAGTGGCAATGAACTATGAAAATTTTCCAAATTTTCGCAGCAGGAATGGATTCCAACTTTCAGGCGATGACATTAGAATGGACCGTCAGCTGTGTTATAAGTTTCATGGCATTACACGGTTTTAATTCGGCGCTCCGTATAGTATGGTGGACGCGATCTCATTTTCTCGAATCACTAGAAGATTGTTTCGCTCGAGTTCAATCCAAACAAGGAAGCTGTGCTGACTCGGTACTGGTAGCTGTACACTAGGCCCTACTTGCCTGTTCTGTTCCACATTTCAAATTTTAGGCTGTAAGCTTTCCACTAACAGCTTCTCGGATTTAACCAGTGTTTTTGAGGCGAGATTTTTTTTGAGGCGGGGTTTTCCTTGGTTTCACCTGTTGACATAAAAACAACCTGGCGTTGGCGCCAAGGCGGGTCTGAAGGGGAGGGTGGAACCATGCGAGAAACAGATGCAATACTCATGCTCAAGATGGCGATGTCCCACGCTTTATCTCGAGACGAATTACTGAAACAAATTCTCCGAGGAACTGGTTTCATGAAACGAAGGCTAAATTCGAAAAGTGGACAGACAAGTACAAATAGTGTCGCAGCTCTACAAAAAAAGTTGACAAGCTTCAGGACAAGTGCGGCTTGACCGAGAGGCGGAAAGGCATCTATAGTAATATTATTTTCGGTACTGTCATTTTTGTCACCACCTGGTTCTTGACAGCGATGAAAGGCATATTATTCGAAGGAATTCATACAAACTCGTCGACGCCATTCACAGTTGGGTTAGTTTCCACCGTTAGCTCATTGTACGATTACAAAACATGAAAGGATCAGGTGATCCAAATTACGGCGCCTGTATACACTCCAAATCCCTGGGATGCGGTAGGCGTGGCTGCGTACTTCAACTATACGTACAACTAAACGACGATGTTTTGATGAGATATTTCCATTTTGACACAATTGTGGTCATGTTTTTGTACAACACAGAAAGATGGCAGTTGTCTGAAAGTTGAAATATCCCACGAGTAACCAGTTCCATGCCATGTTCAAATGCCACGCCTACTCCGTCTCAGGGAATAAAGGGCATAAGTGACGTCACATATGAGCATTCGCAAAAGAACGTGATTATTTTGACCAAGTATGCTGCAGCAAGCTCATTTTACTAGGCTTACGGACAACCTAAGCTTAGTTTTTCTTGATCGGCTTGATTTTCTGCTTTTGCACCCTCTCGTACATGGCCCTCTATCGCCACTGTCACCTTGCACATTACACCTTTCCACGCTCAACAAATGGATTATTCATCCCGGGGTCCGCTCCCCTTCCCTTGGAGCAGGAGATGGTCCCTTGCAAAAACGCCCATCTCCTGCTTGCCGCATGTCGCACCTTTTGATGACTTGGTGACAACTATCCACTGTCTGTGTTGAAGGGTTTTGCCACACGACCATGCAGAAAAGTTCAAGTTGTCACGCAACCCATTCAAGTAATTAGGGAATGCTATGGCTTGCGTATTTCTGTGCGTCGCAGCAATTCGGTATGACTCTCGTCCCATCATTAAAAAAATTTTTCAAAGTAGGAGGTCGTTAAGGAAGGCCCGCAAGCGACACTTGTTCCGTAGACCCAGGTACAGCTTGTTGTTGGGGGATTCCTGAACAGGGGGGGGGCGTTATTTTGTGGTCGTATTAGGGGTGGGTAGAATTCATTTTGATAGTTGATTTTTCTTGTTTCAGGGACGCTGTAAAGAGGGAGGGTCGTATTTGCTCGTTGTTCGCAGGGGGGGATCGTATTTAGCTTCTGAATAAGGTTGCCTGACTTTCCGTGATCTTTCCTGTTTACCCACCCCCCCCCCACCCTCCCGCTCCCTCTCACTCGACCAGCTCAATGAGAGGCGACCAAAACGCAGAGAATCCTTACCAACCTTGTGGAAAAAAAAGGGGGAGGATGGAGTCGTGGCGGACTTTGACCAGCAAATAGGAGGTGCCTGCCTAGACATAAATAGCTCGTTAGTAATGACCTACCTTCGTCTGCGACGAGATCCAATCTATTGACCCCTCTCCACGTCTGGAGTTAGAAACTCTCTGAGCCTAGTCCTGAAAGGCTGAGCTCGCATTCGAATTTGATGAGATATGCGGTTATGCGGCCTCAAATAGCTACTTTAACAAGGTAGCAAGTAACCCCTTAGTAATCAAAAATCAGAAACAAATCATAGGAAAGGCTCTATATAGAACCCCTTGCTTAACTGAGGTTGTACGTGTTCAAGGCGAAGAGAAGGTGCGATGCACTGGCTCTCACTTGTGATATCACTGTTTTCTCTTATCACTCACTCTCACCACTCGACAGCAGCGAAACAACCGCACCATCAGATAACCATTAGGAATGAGTGGAGGGCGGTGCCAATGATTGTAGGTTGGGCCAATGAGAAGAACGACGGCATCGTGGCTCTCCTCACGCGTTTTTGCGCCGCGAAAGTGGTGTAGTTGTTGCCTCAGCGGACCTGACTACCTGCTCACGAAGGGAGAGGAAAATCTCAATTGAACGCTGCCTTTAAGTATCAGGATGAGGAAAAAGCATGAACGGCCCGTTCAGGCTGCCATATTATGCCGATCCTTTTTATTCACGGATTTGCTGTCGTTGTTCAGCACCGTTCAGAAATATTCGGCTACTGTCCTTTTTCCCGCTTTTGCTCTGCACTTCTGCAGCAGGACTATGAGAGAAAGTCTGAGTATCCTGTAACCCACTATGAAAGATCTATCATCCACCTGGCAAAATAAGTTGTCTGGTACAGGAACCGGAGTTCAACATCAATACCCTTTCAGATACCCAGCGAACCTTTCGACAATGTATGGTGTGGCTCCGATCATTTGTCTAGCTTTCGGGTTCTACAGTTCATTGGCACTGATGCTACACACATTGGTGTTTTTCCGCGTAAATTGTGAATGGGAGATTTTTAACGAAGATTTAGCCAGTTCCGAACGACTTCAGCAACTGACGGTATGTTCGTGTACCTTTGAAGATGCTTATTACTATACAATTCATAGCAAAAGTCACATTTACATTTAGTGGTTTTGCTGTAGCTGAGGTACTTCTAGTTGGGCGCAAAATGGACGGTCTGCCATCGTGGCTTTTTCAAATTGATGGCCCCTTTCTTCGACGTAGGAAAGGGAGACACATCAATGATGGAAGCCTGATTTTAGGGTTCATTCCGCTCAAGTAGTACGCTTGAAATGTGCTCTCAAATCTAAAGTGAATTGACCACTAGCCGAACTGACAAGGGAGGTCGTTCAGGGCGTGGTGAGCTTTTTCAAAATGGTCTTGTGCATATTGTAGGGGCACATACCGAGGATCAAAAAACTGTGATTCATTTTCGCTGCGCGCTTCTACGAATAAAAAAAACGTAAAAAATAGGTCGATGGTTCGGATCCCACCGAGGACAAAATTTTGCTTTTCTACAATTTTTCATTTTTTGGATCCATGTTTGTCTAAATAAGTGGTCCTAACAAAAACATTCACGATAAACTGAACAATCCTACTTTTATGGAGCAAAACTGCTTTTTCGTTCGAATTCGTTAGTATTCACAGACTCAGCCTTCGAGGCGCTATGCCGGTGCCAGATGGCACTGGAACCGAAAATAAAGTCTAGAATCGTGATCAGGACTGTCGATTACCCCTAGGAGCAAGTTTTGAGCGAAAAATTTTTTTGACTTTTTCGGGTTGTAGGTGACCGACCGGACCATTTTGGTCGGCAGTGTGAGCGGAGTCCTGACATCCTTCGTAACGCTGCGTATCGTTGACGCTACGGACCCCGGACAACCCAATAAGCAAACCCAAGAAGGTCAAAACAATTGTTTTGACCAAAATTCGTTTTTAGTGGTAATCAGTGGCCCTGATCACAAATATAACACCTATTCTTGGCGTCCACGCAATTTGGCGACAGAATAGCGCTGAACGTTCCCTATATTGGTGTACATAACGAATTCAGTGGAAAGATGTGGCCTCAAATTGGCTATAATTGACACACCAGAAGTTTACTAAATTCGCAATCAGATCCACTGTATAGCCTATGAGGATCAACGTCCAGCAACAATCTTGTTCAATGGTGCGTGAAAATCGAAATAGTTGAATAGCACTGACTCATGAGGTGTAGCTACTCAGAATGTGCCCATAAATGGCAAATATCCGAGTTATATTCATGCGCAGGACGACAATGGAATAGCGAGAGCAGGCGAAATCTAAAAAATGCAAAAAAGGCCGCGAGCAGGGAGCCGACACAAACCACCCTGCACTGTCAGATAGCGAAACTTCCACCCTATCTCGCTAGGCCATCCGATGCTCGATTCTGCGTTGCGCTCTAATCGTTGATGAAACCATTGCAAGAAGCCGTTCACCCTTGAGCACGTGACCCAAGTTGGAAGCTCACTTGCGCGATTTATATACGTTCGATCAAGTAGTCGCTTTATAAGGACCCCACACTGCAGCAAATGGTCAAATCTGGGCAAGTGACCTACGCCGTATAGAGGCCCAGAACGAAGCAGATTCCAAAGATTTCTTTTCACTCGTTTTTTACCTTTCCTGGAAGCGCGCAGCGAAAATGAAGCACACTTTTCAGGTCCTTGCATGAGCCCCTACAATATGCAAAAAACCGTTTTCGAAAAGCGCACCACGCCCCCCCCCCCCCTGAACGGGCCTTCCCTTGTGAGTTCTCTTAAGGCGAGTGGCGCGATAAATCCAGAATGCGGTGCCCCTGAGCATTCGCTTCGTTGCGGTTTCCACAAAGGTGCCCTTATAGCGCTCTATCAAGCTGAACATACCGACGTCGGGAGTACAGGGGGGGCCAAAAAAAGTCACTTTGCTTCATTGACTTTCGAGGCGCTATAAGTTACACTTTATAAATTCTGATCGGACATTTCTACCACCATATTAAAGAGCATATTAAATACTATTATGAACACTCTGCCACAGCCTTCTGGAAGAGCGCCCATCGAGAGAATTCTGGCACCTGAAATCAGCGAGATAGTCGAGTTTGTTCAGCCAGTGACTCCATACTAGAAGTTTCGCAGCTGTTTGGAGGTGACATGAATTCCAAAGGTCTTCTCCAGTCAGGCTGCGACTGGAGATGACCTCATATTTTGGTGTACATGAAGGTGATGGGCGAGGGCCAGCTCCTGCTTATCAAGGACATCTTGGGTATCTTCCGCCCTGGTACTCGTATCCACGTCTTCTCTCTGGGCTGCGAAAACTTTGCTGATATGTGACTCGGTCGAAGTGACTTTTTTTTGCCCCCCCCCTGTATATACATCAGGCCGTATCTATCTTAGGCGTGACTGGTCACGATGCCAACGGGAACTCCTTCTGAAATCGCTTGCTAACTAAATCGGAACAAAAGGCTTCTTCTCACACCGCTTCATTTTGTTTTTGGCCACCTTTCCTACTAAAATAGAATCGCTAATTAGCTAGTTTAGGACGCGAAGTACCTAAGTCGCCTCATGCATGCAATGGCTAGAGCGCGCCTATAAAAAAAAAGTAAAATAAGTTTTGCAATTTCTCCAGGTACGGGCATATGTTAGAGCAATGTCTTAGTTTTAAAATGAACCTCGAATTAGCGCTCAGGATGCCAAATAATGGCTTTTTAGCCAATCTACTCTTTTCAGATACCCATCGTTCTCAGGAAGTTCAGCTCGCGGCAGATAGAGCTTATGGAACTAGTAAAAGTCATCAATCAAAACATGAGTGAGTCGATTCTTTCCTAGATATCTTATCTTGTTCTTGCGCTGCGAATTCCTTATCAAGGCTTCTGTTTCTGACCTTGTGAAGCCCACGTTTCTGTGGAATGCTGCCGAATTGGGCAAAAATCGCAGAACACTAGGGACGGAAACTGGCGTGCTTACGTAGAACGCCCAATATGTGCCCCAGAGGTAAGCCGCCGCGCTCACCCCAAGTCCGTGGGCACGCCTTCTGCAGTGCCGTGGTATGGGAGCATAGGTTTGGGATACTTCGTTGATATTTGTTACTAATACGACATGTCAATATTTTAGTGTTGTTTGTCTCAATGTCGGGAACATTTGCTGCTCTTACTTCAGCTCTGGGCGTTTACTGGCTAATTGGGTTAGTTCTTACATTCTTTTGAACTCCACAAAAAAAGCATTAAATAGCAGGGCTAAGCGGCGAAGTGCCTAGTAGTATCGCTGTCATCGTCACTTTGAAGCCGAACGGCCGCTCACGATGTCGCAAGACGATAGCCAAAACGCTTTAAAATTACGAGATCCGCTTCATTCCAAGGGAGGGCTATAGCTTTCCAATGTGTAAGAATTTAATTCTGTCAGTAATTAAAATATCTCTTACGCTCTAGCTACTTACTCGTCATGAGGTCCATTTTGTAGCTTCACTCACAAGTACATATCTTCCATTACGGAGTGAAACTGGTGTGCCGGAGACGTACTCCCGCTGAGTGAGTCTCTTCTCCTATACACACGTTTCTGTCTCTCTTTCGTCCTGAACTTCTAGCAGCTGTCTCCTTTGTTGCCCTTGGACTCAGCGCGTTCCAAAGGCTGCGGATGAATCCGTGTTCGGATTGTTCTGTCCTTACGCATTTATGGGATTCCTGACGTAACTTGTGGCATCGTTTTTGCTGTACCGCCAAAGGAATGTCAAAAAGGAGTAGAGCTCTCATTGGAGACAAAAGAAAAGTGCAACTGGGAGCGAGTTCACCTACTTTCCTGTAAGGCAAGACAGTTGACACAGGATCACGATAGCTCTTGGAATCTATGGGATAACTGTGCTCACAACCCATCACTACATTTACGGCAAACCTTTATGCGCGGCGCTTACTTGAGAGATTCCGGCGTAGCACCTTTTACCTCGCATATTTGCAATGAGGCACTTCAAAGGCTCTGATGTTCCCCCAGGTCTCCACTCAAAATTCTATAGGAAGTGTGAAACACTCTCTGGTTAGAGAGATGGAAGCTTGATTGGAAAGGATGAAATCCGATAGGAACGCTGGGCGTCGGACAACACATATACGGGGGGGGGGGTCAAAACAGTTCACCATCGATCGCGAGTCACATATCAGCAAGAGTTTTCGCTGGCGCAGACAGGGGACTGGGATACGAGTAAGCGAGAGCGGAAAGATAACCAGAAGATTTTCCTACTAATAACAGGAGCTGGCTCTCACCCATCACCCTCATGTACACCAAAATATGAAGTCATCTCCAGTCGCAGCCTGACTGGAGAAGACCTTCGGAATTCATGTCACTCCAACAGCTGGCGAAACTGTACGGAAGTGCAAACCCATGATGGCTGCCTGGAGACATAGCACTTTCGACTGGAAGATTCCCAACTATCGAGGCCATACTCCGACAACGTGTCTAGGACATCATCTTCACCACAGTCGCCAAGGCGCGGGTTGATGGTATGGACCGGACGTACCTGGAATGGAAAGACCAATATTTTCTTCGTGGACCCCGGACTGAAGGTGAGCGCTGGCGGTTACATCGAGCAACTCAAGAAGAATATCTCCCCACATGTCGTCGCCCGTACCTTCTTGGAAACTTTGTACTGCTACAGCATTGGGTGCCACCACATGGAATCGAAGGGCGTTGGAGAAACTCTCGCCTACTTGGAATGGAAGGGGGCTGAGTACCTAAAGAAGATGGAATATCCAAGTAGGTCACCTGACCTGAATCCCCTCAATTACCCGGTTCGGGCGGAGTTCAATAGGGTGGTCTACGGTGGCGGAGAAATCGACTATCTCGCTGATCTCAGGCACCACATCGCGGTCGCGTGCCAGAATCTCTCGATGGCGCTCGTCCAGAAGGCTGTGGCGGAGTGTCATGATAGTATTTCAATATGCTCTTTAATATGGTGGTAAAAATGTCCGATCAATTTAATAAAGTGTAACTTATAGCGCCTCGAAAGTCAATGAAGAAAAGTGACTTTTTTAGCCCCCCCCCTGTATTGGCAACGCTAATTCACTGTCCCCCACCACATGACTGTCAATTGAAGCTGTAACTATAAGATGAATCGCCATCCTATAGACCTTACTAGACCTGACTTCACCTCCTGACGCGGATGCATAACCCATCTATGATGAATACCTTCGCAGGCCAACGCCCATGTACTAGTGGCTCTGCCTGAATGGACTTCCCGTTAGTATATAGTAAAAGTATGCATAAAAAGTGGAACTTTCTGTGCTGTTAAATCCACCTTGGGGGAGTCACCTTTCCGTTGAGAATCGTGCCACTACTCACGGTCATTGCCACACTCTTCAAAATTCTCAAAAAAATTCAAATTGGTAGATGTGGCCGAGATTTTGTTTCCAAAGGCAGTTTCTGGATACTCCCTGAACACTAATATCATGCTTACTTGGGTCAAAGCCGCCTGGCCCGCGCCACAGAACCCCTCGCCTAGATACGTCGTGTCACTGAATTTGTTGAAAATTTGGTGCCAGGGAATAATTTGCCCCCTAACCGCAAATATAACACCG